CCTCTCTTGCCCTCGGCTACCTCTCGCTCTTTTCTCCTTCTCTTCCTTCCTCCTCCTCCTCCTCCTCCTCCTCTTCTTCTTCTTCTTCTTCTTCTTCTTCTTCTTCTTCTTCGTTGTCTCTCATCCTATGTGTCCTCAGATATTCTTTTTCCCTTTCCTCATCCTCATCTCCTTCACCATCCTTCTACACCATCTCACTTGTTTGTTTTCCCTTGCGTCGTCTTCCGTTTGCTAAACGCACCTTAAATTACGCGGCCGATGATAAATATTTGAGCCGTCCATTACGCGAAAGGGCCACTCTCTCGCTGGACCTCTGCGTCGCTCGGTGTTACATCCTCTCTCTTTCTCTCTCTCTCTCTCTCTCTCTCTCTCTCTCTCTCTCTCTCTTGTTCTCTTGTTCTCTTTTCTTTTTGGATCTTCGAAAGATTCCTCTTCTCCTTCGCCTTCCCCTTCTCCTTTTTCTTCTTCTTCTTCTTCTTCTTCGTCTTCCTCGTCTTTTTCTTCTTTTTCTTGGATCGTGTTACTCTGAAAAAAGGGACCTAGGGCTCGTCGAACCTACTCGTGATCCACTCAACGAAAGACAGAATCTGATCTTTGGATCCTATTGTGACGAGTCATTACTAATCGATGACTTCTTCGATCATTGTGATATATATATATATATATATATATATATATATACAGCGATTGTGATATAGGTGTACATATATAATGTATTATTTTTATATGATTTTTTTCTCTTTCATTATCGCTTTTTCATTATCGCTAACGATACAGAAAATGTTCGAATTACTTACATTATCGATAATATCAGTAATTAAAAATATAAGAGAAAGAAGAAAAGATAAAACGATTTAATTACAAATGAGAATAATTAGATGGTAATTTTTTGAAATAATGTAAAAAGATGTTTAACGAGGTTCACATTTTTGTTTTTCACATGTATTTTTTTTCGTTGAAATTGCCTCGTACTCGATCTTTTCTTCTTTTCTTGTCTTTTTTTCTTTTTTTTTTTTTTTTGCCCACCGAAGAAACGTTCAACGTCTCGATCGATGGACGACGAGATCGAGATGACGAAGAACGATCGAACGTGAACGATGAGGACGATGGGAAAACGTTTTACTCCTCAATCGTTACTTGCACCTCGATGTTGAATTTTTTATTATTTTCTCGATCGGCGGCAGGCGCTCTCAGGCCTGCATACAAAAGTCGAAAGTGCCTCGTAACAGGATTATGAAATGTTCCGGAGTAGAGTGCCGTGCCGTCGTGCCGCCGTGCCGTCCAGTCGTTGTAGATGTTTACAGCTTGCGAATACTCGTTACCTTTTACTGCCGGCGAGTTTCAGCGATTCTGGCATCGGACGAGGGCCCCCGCTAACGAGTGCCATTTATACTTTCATTGGCCCGTAATTCTTCGGAGTCTCCTACATCGAGAGACCGCGTTTGCACGCGAAGAACTCGAACGTAACCATTGTTTTATTCTTATTCTTATAGATATTATCGCTTTTCTTCAAAGAGAGAAAGTCGAGAAAAGTGAATTTTACAATCTTTCGAAATCGTTTCGTTCATTTTAAAGCTCGAATAAATACGATACAATTTTTATTTCGTTATTTGCCACGATTAATATACGGATATACGTCATTTCATAATAATTTCTTTGAAACGACAACGAATACCAATGGACAATGAAATTTTTCAATAAATGGTAAATATATATATATATATATTTTTTTATGACGATTAATTTGGATGGACATTTTAAATAATACGAGTAAATATTTAGATCTTTCGAAATATTTTCTCCCTAAAGAAAATATCTAATTTATAAATGACAAAATTTTATCATTTTTGTATAATAATTCATTTGAAATGTCAAAAATTATGGATTTATTAATAAGAATATAATTATATATCGATATTTCACAATAATTCATTTGGATCGTCAAATCAATAAGAATAGTTGTCGAAACATTTTCAAATATTTCCCGCGAGAATATTTCTTTATGATCAAATAAATGACAAAAAAATCCATTATTTTACAGTGGTTAATTAGGATCGTCAAAAGATACGAATAGATATACTTGAACATTGGAAAATATTTCTCGTGAGAAAATTTCGATAATAGATCGATAAAGATTATATGCTGTTGTGTTTCGTGATCATTGAAATTATCGTTTAAAAATCGAAAATTATCATGTAGGTATTATATACATATCTATCAAAATGGATATAAAAAGATGTGAAGCTTGATTGTTTAAGAAGAGATATACCTATCGTGATATTTTTCTTACCTTTTATTTTTTCTTTTTTTTTTTTTTTCTTTTTTCTATCGAAACAAAATATCAATGATCAATCAAAATCGATCATGTTCTTAGTATCTAACTATTATCGCGATAGAAACGTAACTTATTTTCTCATACGTTTATATCAAGGTCATCGTCGACTTCGTGGCGTCTTATGAAGATATCGAGAAAGGGAGAATGAGAGAGAGAGAGAGAGAGAGAGAGAGAGAGAGAGAGAGAGAGAGAGAGAGAGAGAGGGAGAGGGAGAGAGGGAGAAAAACGATTCAGAAATCTTTCGTTCCTTCGGATTTACGACGTAGACGTTGTTGTTCTATTGACCTTTGCTTCCCTATCTCTAAGAGAAGAGAAACATAAATACTACATACGTACATAAACACGTATGTATATATAAGTTTTCCATACGTATGAACAGTTTCAACTATTCTGACGAACGTTCGAGAAGTAACATTAAAGGACTTATTACGTTTTCCGCATGTTTAACGGTAATTACAAAGTAACTCGGAGTCACGTGAAATATTCTTCTAATGTGCCGTGTAAATTCAAAGTCGTTTCGATGTGAAAGAGAGAAAGAGTGAGTAAGAGAAAGAGAGCGAGAGAGAGAGAGAGAGAGAGAGAGAGAGAAAGGGAGAAAAGAAAGAGAGAAAGAGAGAAACGTGCCGTGCGTTCAGAAAAGATGTTTATTATCGGTAAACCGAGCTGTTCGGAGACCCTCTTGCCCCCGTTGACGTTGGTTCTCATTGGTAGACGTTCGACGTTCGTATCAGTCGGTTCTCGGTTTGCTTGGCGCGTGCACACACTTCGATCGTGAAAAAAAAAAAAGAAAAGAAAGAAAGAAGGAAAGAAAAGAAAAATAGCTAGCTGGTCGTGTTCGATCGGAAGATCGATTTTTGACGGGGTTGGAGGGAGGAGAGTAGAGGAGAGAAGAGGAGAGGAGAGGAGAAGAGAGGAGAGCAGAGGAGAAGAGAAGAGCAGAGAAGTGAGAACGTGACGAAGCACGAAACGAGTTCGATCGCGTTTACATATGTACATACATACATATGTATATATATATATGTATGTATGTATGTATGTATGTATGTATGTATGTACGTATATCGATTAAATCCGATTTTTAACTTCTTGACATTCTTACGTTTTCTGTATGAACTATCGCGTTTCAAGGTCACCCTTGTAACTGGTTAACTTTTTTCGCGAGTTCTCGGTGTTGCATGGTCCTGGTGTAGAGAAGTCATTCAGTATCTTGAAGTTGTAATTCAAAGAAGGAGAAGACGGACAAGAAGAAGAAGAAGAAAAAAGGGAAGAAGGGGTAAAGGTATCTAAGCGAGGAAAGGGCTCGAGTAAGGAGGAGAGAAAAAAGAGAAGAAAAGGATATTGTAGAAGAAGAAGAAGAAGAAGAAGAAGAAGTAGAAGAAACGAAGGAGGTATCTGCAGTAGAATCTGAGAAGGAAAGATAGAAAAAGATAGAGATAGATAGATAGATAGATAGATAGATAGATAGAGAGAGAGAGAGAGAGAGAGAGAGAGAGAGGGAAAGGGAGAAAGCTAAAAAATCAGCCGAACTCTTTCTCTCCCTTGACAGAACCTTCCTCCTCTTTTTATCCCTCCGTTTCCCTCTCTATCCTCCCTCTCCCTCTTACTCGAACGTATCACGAAGCTGGCACCTGTCCTCGTTTACCTGGAGAACGCTCCGCCCCGACCAATGGAGTCTCGAGGGGTCCGCTGAAGGCTCCTACCATCGGAAGAGAGAGAGAGGGCCCGTTTGTCGAGTGGTAGTGGTGGTGGTGGTGGTGATGGTGGTGGTGGTGGTGGTGGTGGTGGTGATGATGGTGGGAGTCTTTCGGCATCATCCACCACCACCAACAGTAATAGCACGAGTATAAGTCGCTAAGAAAAGAGAGAAAGAGAGAGTGAGAGAGAGACAGAGAGAGAGAAAGAGAGAGAAGGGACCTACCGGCGTCTCTACGAGTTGTTTTGGTGGGGACAGGAAGAGGGGCCTACCCCGTCTAGAGCTCGTAGTATACTATAGAAGTAAGCAAGCAAGAAAGCAAGAAAGAGAGAGAGATATATAGAGATAGAGAGAGATAGAGAGACAGAGAGAGAGAGAGAGAGAGAGTAGTGTAGGGGGTATCCACCGAAAGCCATCGCCGGCATTTCCCACCACCGGCTCGTCCGGAAAACGTGAGGTACACGCGAGTCCACGCTTCCGGAGGCTGACTTTCAGTCTCGGGAGTCCGCCAGAGTCTGATCAACGCGAGACTCTTCTTTTTTTTTTTTGTTTTTGTTTTTCTTTTTCCGTACATTTCATTTCCACGCAATCCGATCGTGTTATACATATGTAAATACGTAGGTGCCTGCCTCGTCGATTGGATATAATGAAATCGGTAGTGTTCCTCGTTAGCTCGTTGTTTATCATCTTGAAGATGTAGAGTCGTGTTTCTTCCTTTTCTCCTTTTTTTTCAAATATTTTGGTGATTTGACAACGACAATATTCCGATTAACGCGATAGTGATTAAATTAGAGTGCTTCTCTTTCTCTTTCTCTTTCTTTCTCTCTTTCTTTCTCTCTCTTTCTATCTCTCTCTCTATCTATCTGTCTATCTATTTATTTATCTATCTTTCTCTTTCTTTTTCTCTTTCATTCTCTTCCTCACTCTCTCTCTCTCTCTCTCTCTTTCTTTCTCTTTCTCTCTCTCTCTCTCTCTCTCTGTCTCTCTCTTATCAAGAGAACCTAACTATAAGTATAATACATCTATATATCTACGTATAGATATAGATAGATAAGAGGTGGTAACAAGAGAGAGAGAGTGCTTTCTCCAGGGTCGCTGTGGTGATGCCCTGGTTATGGTTAAGCGTGAGTAGTGGTGAGGTAAGTGGAGAGAGAGGGAAGAAGAAAAGAGGAGGACAGCCGTTTTCCTCGTCATCGTGGTGGATCAAGCGTTCGTTCATCGAACGAACGTCTGACACCCTTTTTCATCGAGGAAGAAGAGGAGGAGGTGGAAGAAAAAGAAGGTGGTGGTAGTGAAAGGGGTAGTGATAAAGCAAAGAAGAGGAAGAAGAAGAGGAGGAAGAAAAAGAAAACAAAAAAAAGAGAAAAAGGAAACGAAAAGGATTAAAAAAAAAAATTAATAAACAAATATATATATATATATATATATATATATATATATATATATATATATATAATTGCACATATATAGTTGCGTGGAACGGAAGAAAAATTGAGCGATTCGTTCGCTCGAATTATGGTGTGCCATCATAATCATCATTGTCATATGGGCCTCCTAAGGGCCAGCAGCCACCGTAGCTGGGCCTTTGGGAGGCGAGGAGACCAAGTACCGTCGGTACTACGCGTTTTCCTCTTGATATTGGCACTTTGGATGCCGGTATTTGACAACGGTGCTCTTGTACTCGCCTGCGGACCCGGCAGAGGCGCCGGAAGACGTCTTGGTCCGAAGAAGGTCACGCCTCTTGTCTTTAAACAGCACGTGCCCAACGTCAGCGAAAACACGCTACCGGCAAGTGGACTCAGCGATGGACGTGTGTCAAGACACGATCCAAGATTTCGTGATCTTGTGCCAAACTATAATGCCGATATCATTTTCAAGGACGAGGAGGGTACCGGTGCCGATAGATTCATGACGCAGGTAAATATATCCTTTATTATTAATTTACTTTTCTTTCTCTCATAGATTTTTTTTCCCCTTCGTCTTCTATCAATTTCGATTTTACAAATTTAAACAATTTTTATTATTATCATCGATCAATTACGTTCGTAATAGATCTATCCTTCCATTTTTTTTCTCCCCTCTAAACAGATGATCTAAACATAATTTACAATAAATACGAATCATTCGTCGAAGTTTTATTTAGTTACTTCGTAATAGGTGTGTGTGTGTGTGTGTGTGTGTGTGTGTGTGTGTGCATACATGTAGATATACGACATGCTTATGTACGTATACACGTATGTGAACCTTTTTTTATGCGATAATTGATGATTTTACAAGATAATTTCTATGAAAGATTTCAAGTTAATGGAAGATTTAAGAATTAGATAAATCATTCGTTAGAGATTTTCTTTCGATCGTTACTAAGGTGTTATAGAAAATTGACTGACTTAAACATTAAACGTTGTCGTTGGACATCGTAGTCGTTTAACTCACGATAAAGTATTGTACATACATATACACTTTACTGTGTCAACGTGCGATAAAGATGGTCGTCGTCTTTGCGGAACACACGGCTACGATGAATCATCGAAGGGACGAGGGAGACACATTGTACGATAATTTATAAACTCTCTCACGTTTACATGTGAACGTCGATATAGATCGATATTCTCCCTCGATTGATTGGTTTACAATGTTGACTTTTTTTTTCTTCGATTTTATTTTCGTGTCAGATTTCATAAATCGACGATTGATCTTGACCTTTATTGATTTTACTGATATCTCTGGTTACAATACACTATGTATGAATTTTATATTAGAAATAACATTTATACATTGTTTTTCCATACTTTGACTTTATAACAATACATTGTCCTTTTTTTTCGTATATATATATATATATATATATGAAAAATCAAAAAGAGGCATATTATGTAAAATAAAATATACAAAATAATTTTACATCTACATATACATATACAATATTATTATGATAAATAAATTATTTTAATTATATTATATTTAATAATATTATTAAAGTGATTAATAAATAATATTATATACAGATGTAATATAATAATTTTATCTGTATGAGAAATTATTAGTAAAAGTTGGATTTTCTTTATAAATGCATGAATTGGATTTTTAAATTGCGAAACATGTTTTAAAGTGAAAGAGAAAAAAGAAAAAACAAGCCATGAATCTTTCAAATGACCCATATATACAATATATATATATATATGTATATATATATATATATATATATATATATATATATACATATAGGAATGTGGAAGATATGTATATACATATATATATATATTTTTTTATGTAATACTTATAACGCATAAAAATTGAAAATAGCGTAGCCATCGACCTTTACATTCGAATCTGTTAATAGTAATGGAATAATTTACGGACAATAATTAAAGTGATTAAAAGAATGTTTAATGTTTCTAATACTTGCGTATATCTTAGATCTTTAAATAGATCTAACCGATCGATCGATGAGGTTCACCGTAAGAATTATATTCTCGTTTTTCTTTTTTTCTTTTTTTTTTTTCTCCTTTACTCTTTTTTTTTTCTCATTTTCCATCTCTAAGAATAAGCATGTATTATTATTCTTGATACGCCAGAGTCTCGATTGGTTGTTTATTTATTTATCATACGTGAAATAGAACAGATTGCTATGAATTCTCTTTTCCCTTTGATATATCCCGAAGAAACGATCTCTCACCGTACTCATAGATCTTCCTTCGTTTTCTTCGACAAGACATCGTCGACATTCTTTCACCGTACTTGGAATACAAGAGTTTCTCTCTCTCTCTCTCTCTCTCTCTCTCTTTCTCTCTTTTTCTCTTCTCGTTCCTTTCAACCTGCTACACACAATGTTCCCTCTCGCTTATAGAAAATGAGAATACGCATTCTTCGCGATTCTCTACACATATACACGCACACACACACACACTCACACACATATATATATATACACATGATGTATACATATACAGTTGATAACTTGCAAGTCGAGTAGCATGCTTTACAGAAATCCTCCTGACGTACATATGTATATACACACACACACACACACATACATACATGTATACATACATACATACATACATACATACATATATTATACATATATATATATATATATATCTACATACGTACTGCAATTTCTCCTTCTTGTGAATATCGACTCGCTAAAGGTATCATAAGAAAGAGAAAGAGAGAGAGAGACAGAAAGGGAGTAAGAGAGAGAGAGAGAGAGAGAGAGGGAGAGACAGTGAGAAATAGAGAGAAAGAGAGAGAGAGAGAGAGAGAGAGAAAGAAGAACGTCGGGAGTCTATTACGATGCTCACCTATGTCGTAGTTATAACGGTACTCTATCAAGCGCGTAATCGCAGTAACGCGTGTTACTTGCCATATGACAAACTAGCTGAGAGGTTCCTTTCCTTCTCGTCGTTAAACGTCGGCAGGTGATTCACGCGAAAAAGAAGACTTCCCCGATCCTTCCCAGTAAATAATACCCACCTATAGCGGTTGAATCGTCTAACGTGACCAATTGGAAATTGATTAACTCGAACGATCTTGACCTTGACACTTTACTTTTTTCTTTCTTTTTTTTTTTCTTCGCTCATCCCTCGATCCCTTCCATTCTCTCTCTCTCTCTCTCTCTCTCTCTCTCTCTCTCTCTCCACTGTCTTCTCTAACACCCCTCACTCCAACCTCCTCCACCCCCTGGTCCTTTTCGATTTATTTATTACAAATACGTTGTATATAACTTGACAAATTCCTATTCATCACGTATAACATATATAACATATAATATATATATATATATATATATATATATAATGTATGTATAATATGTGAGTATGTATATGTGTGTGCGTGTGTGTGTGTGTGTGTTTATGATACACGATCGTAGTGTCAAATGATTTTCTAAGAAAACGAAAGCAACAGACTGCCTGTTTATTTCTACCGTTCGTTTATTACGAGCATACATATAACTGAACTTGGAAATAACTGAATGAATTCTTCCAATGACTTCTAAGATTTCTTACATTCCTAGTTTAATAATAATAATAATAATAATAATAATAATAATAATAATAATAATAATAATAATAATAATAATAATAATAATAATAATAATAATAATAATAATAATAATAATAATAATAATAATAATAATAATAATGATGACGATGACGATGACGATGACGATGATGATGATGATGATGATGATGATAATGATAATAGTAGTAGTAGTAATAGCAATAATGATAATAATAATCATAATAATAATGTTACGAATGCGAGCTCTTACATAAACATAGAGAATATATATATTTCTTCGTATATTCGTAAAGGAATGTTCCTTTTGGAATAGTGAAAACTGCTTGAACTTCTCCAAGAGATATTTTTATTGTCTTGCAGTTATATACTCGCCTCCGTTTTCTATTAAGTTTCTTTCTCGATAACCTTCTTTCTTTCTCCTTCTTTATCTTTCATTTTTTTAATGTATGATATATATCGTACGTGGGAAAGAATTACGACGGTAATAAAATTCACTGCAGTTCTTTACTTTATATTATGATCCTTGCCGATCATGTTCCCTCCTTTTCGAAAATTCGCTCGTATCTGTTTGATGATTTACCGACAATTTTCGTGAATGTTGAATTTTATGTAAAAAAAAAAAAAAAAAAAAAAAAAAAAAAAAAGAAAAAAAGAAAAAAAGAAAAAAAACGCAAAGGAAAGTCAACAATCGCGTATTATCAGAGACATTTTATATATATGATCGATGATACATCGATGATCAAATTGATAAATTCTTTTCTTCCGAGATATATATATATATATATATATGTGATAAATGAGATGATGATGATGATGATGATGATTGTTGATGACGATGATACTCTTCGATATAACGCAATGAAATTGTGTCGTTGGTTTTGTTTCAATGAAAGGAAAAAAAAATAACAAAAAAGAAAAAGAAAAAAAAAAGAAAAAAAGAAGAAAAAGGAAAAATATAGAAATTATATTTCTTGAAATTGTTCGAAACATAATTTTTTTTAAATTATCAAATGTCATAACGTGAAACTTATATTTATATAGAAAATATTTTATACATTAATATTGACTTTTTCATTTCACTGATCTTAACATTCGAACGGCAAAGAAGCCATTTAAAATTGGCACGCGAGTGAATTCGTAGGAAGTAGGGTGTCGTCTCGATTGAATTGAATCGAATCGAATTGAATCGAATCGAGAATTCACCTGTCTGTGAAAAAGAGATTTTGTTATTTCTTTTTAAAAACCTCTATAAGAGAAGGACTCTCTTTCTCTCTCTCTCTCTCTCTCTCTCTTTCTCTGTAGACGTTCTATATCTATCTCTTCTTGTCTCCTTTCTCAAGCCGCGTTTATTCACCGTCCATAGAGCGTCCATTAGTGCTTTATTCATGCAGTTTTTATCGCTGTTTGCCTTCCACTTGGCGCCCCCGCGATGCGTCAAACGATTCTCTCTTTCACGACGACCGACTATCTTTTTCTCTCTCTCTCTCTCTCTCTCTCTTTCTCTCTCTCTCTCTCTCTCTCTCTCTCTCTCTACTGTATTGTATTCCAATTTGTAAGTCAACGAAAAAGATTGAAATGAAGAGAAAAGTTCTTTAATGGATTTAAATGAAGGATTACCGCTTGTATAATTATATTTTATTATCCAAAGAAATTGATTTATTTGATTTTTCGACTTTTACATAAGGGAATCTTCTATTTCTTTTTTTGCTATATATTTGTACTTTTCTCTCTCTCTCTCTCTCTCTCTCTCTCTCTCTCTCTCTCTCTCTTTGGGTCCTTATTTTTATCGAAAAAAAAAACGATAAACGTTGAATTGGCGCCAGTTCGGTTTAGTTTAAAAGAAAAGAAATCGATACATTCGATTAGGCTGTAAGGAGACCTTCTCTTTTCAT